CCCCCCCCTCTTTTCCGTCCTTACTTCCGTCCGTCGGTCCGTCCCGCCCACCTTCTCCAGTTTCTACCTCGACTTCCTGCGGTGCGTTTACAGTTGTTCCTCAGCATTTCCTCCTCCTCCACCATTGTTCCTCGCTACGTCTGTCTATCATTGTAACTTTCTCACAAGCGACTGGTCCTCGTAACGTAAATATGATTTGCAGCCTTTTCAATACAAACCAATTCTATATGTAGTACGAAAAGACCCATTTCGCTGTTTAAAGAAAGTCAGAACTTTGCAAAGTAATCGTCTTGAAAAACTTTGCAAGAACTCTTCGTCATTTATTTGGGAGTTAAAACTCTTATTCTTTAACGCAACATGTTTGACTTCAGAAGTATTTCGACTGGTCTAAAACAATTTCAAAGTAAGATAGCAATTTGATCTATTTTTGAGATAAAGAAGGTTTGTTTGTTCTTTTTCTAAAAAAGAAGAGCTACTGCTTGTTAGAAACTACGAGTGTTTACTCTCCCAGCTTTACCGAGACGTTGAACCGCTGTCGTCTCCACCACTCCCGCTGTCCCAGTTCAATTTGCAGCTCAACCTAAACTACGTCATCATCAGCAACAGCTTTGTCTTTGGGAGGCAGAGAAGGTAAAAGGGCTGAGCTCTAAAGCAAAGGCTACTAGCAATAGTGAGGCGGATACCTGAGAGCAGAACGATTAAAGTTCTAACGCTGACACGTTTATCGTCCACAAGGTTTTAATTTTAGTAATTTCTTGTAACAGTGACATTCAACGCGAATTATATATCAATACCTGCTCCTCTAACCAGTATAACTCTTTCGAAGGAGCTCTTTATAGTTAGGTTCACACTTGAGTTTACATGTGATATAGGTTCAAAATCCACGTTACGTTATATTGCGATACGCTAATTTTTAGAGTGCAGGGAGATAAGTTTTGGTAAACAACGACTGTTCCAAGAAAAGGACTCGGATGTTAAAACCATATTCCAAGGGAAGAATCAGAGAAATAACCTCGAAATCCCAGGAAATCGTGCGAAATCATATTTTCAGGAAGTTTCCAGAAGGAATGTGCACTGTTAAATTCCTGTAAAGCAATTCTTTGCAAGACTGCGAAGTATTTAGATCGTTTGTAACTTAGTGTTGCGATAAAAGTTAGGCAAAAGTGCCCACGAGTACACCTGCGTGGAGCAGGCTGCATCTACGCCTGCCTACTAGGCAACATCTACACACGCCTGCTTAGGTGTTGCATAGTAGGCAGGCGTAGATGCAGCCCGCTCCACACAGGTGTACTCGTGGGAAATTTTGCCCAACTTTTATCGCAACACAGAGTAACTACGAAGCATTTACTTTGGAAGTAACAAACAAAGCAGTGAAGCACGCTGGAAAGCAAACGCTTTGAAATTGCAAAGCATCACTTTCTTAACACTTCGTAGTTCTGCAAAGCATATTGCTTTGTAGGAATTTAACAGCCAACCCTGAGCTGGCGTTACATTAGGAACTGAAATAAATCTCCTAGGGAAGGACTCTCGTTAGGGACCTATGAGCAAGGCTTTTATGCTTGGCTTAGTAAGAATCTGCGCGAAGCAGCGCGGTGGAAAGGGGAGCTGGGAGGGGAAGGAAACAAAAACTGAGAAAGTAGGACACGAATAGTGGAAACGCGCGGCAGATCTACCGACCGACCGAGTAGAGCGGAGCAGAGCGGAGCAGAGCGGAGGCGGGTCACGTCCCGAGAAGGGAGGAATATACACCTCTGCAGTAAGAGCAGCAAGTCAGGTGCGGCATGGCGGGGTGGGGGCACGGGGGCGGGGCGGGGCGGGGCCGATTGGCGGGGTGGGCCCAGCAGCAAAAGGTGTGAAGCCATAGCAGCCAGGCGCTGTAAGTCGAGGCAATTTCCGCTACCATTGCAGGTGTTAGGGGCGGGGTTGGGCGGGGCGGGGTGAGGCGGCGAGAGATAAGAGATGGGGCGGCGGATGAATAGATCGACGGTAGGCGGCTTATATATTAAGACTTCCCCCCGGTGCGGAGGGATGGAGATGACGACAAGCTCTCCCCGGGGGCACACCCCTCCCCCCTCTCTCTGCAGCAGCAGGAAGAGATGGCAGTGATTGGGCGGCGGCGAGACCACGGGACGTCTCTCCTATCGCCGCTCTCGGCACTGTCAGCGTCAAAGCCCCTCCAAATAAATGGTGTTAGGGTCCTTGCAGCAGGAGTGCGCAGAGAGACGGATCTCTACTTCACTCAAAATATTCTCTTGGATCAAAGTGGCCCAAAAAGAGGAGAAGGGGAGGGGGTGGCGAGGGTTTATCCCTATTACATCTCCCAAGATGATTATTCGTGATGCTGTAAAAAAGCGGCCACGTTTTACAAGCGGAGTGTACCATTTAGAAACTGCTGTATTCCAAAAGCTCTGAAAATCCGCTTCAAAATCAAGATGTGATTCTCGTTTGGGCACCTGCTGTACCTGCTAACACTTTTACCAATTTGATAACTCACTATTTTTTAACAACATAAAATGTTAATTTAACAACATAAAATGTTAATTGAACAACATTAATATGTTAATTTAACAACAGTAATATGTTAAATTAACAACATTAATATGTTAATTTTTGTAGGCACACAACAACTGTCAAATGTAACATACAAAGGCAACGAAATTGCCCAAACGGTGGGTTCATTATGCTCGTCTCTCTCTCTCTCTCTCCCCCTCTCTCTCTCTCTCTCTCTCTCTCTCTCTCTCTCTCTCTCTCCACCCTCTCTCTCTCTCTCTCTCTCTCTTTCCTCCCTCTCTCTCTCTCTCCTCCCTCTCTCCCTCTCCGTCACTCTCTCTCTCTCTCCCCTGCACAAAGTTTCGGCACAGCCGCTCACTTGCTCGAGAGAGCGAAGGAAGGAGAGAGACATGGGCTTAACCGCAGGTAGCCCACGTGCTAACCTCGTCGTTACGGACCAATCCTACTCGCATTAGGGAATCTCTCTCTCTCGCTCTCTCACATACACATACACACACACACGCGCGCGCGCGCTTGCCCGCAGACAAGACGGTAGGAATTTCACATCGAGATGGGTACGCTTTAGTTCCAAACAACTTTCCTTTGATACAAATGTAAACGTCAAAACCAGATGATTGTACGCTATGGCTTTTGCTTAACCGACTCACCTGTGACAGACAGCCCCTCGCAAAGACGGATGGAGGAAAGGAGCGCTGACGACGGTGCTTCTTGCCTAAAGCCAACCTGAAACCGGAACCTATTCAGCGCGTCTCTAATTCAAATCTGTTCATACCGGTTAAGTCCCCCACCCGCTCCCCCTCCCCCCTTTTAAGTCGCGATGGCGTCTATGGCGTTCGCGTGGTTGGCCCAGTCCATGGCGGGTAAAGGATACATCCTGAGGGAGCCGTTCTTGGAGCCCACCGCCAGCAGCCTCTGCACGGGGTCGAAGGCCATGGCCGTGGGTTGGTATGGGAAGCCATGGCGAAAGGTCTGCAACAAGGAGAGGAGATACATCAGATAACGCGGTATTACGAAAACACACACCATCGAACCAAACCGAGTAAACAATCAATATCACCAGAGAAGTCGGAGATAGAGAATCGATGATCCACTAACAGTAAAATTATATGAAGTCTAGGTTTCCGTTTTATGACTAACAGATCATTAAAATGTGTATCAGTAACGAGAAATTATGAATGAGTAGAAGAATGAAACGTCAGGCACCAGGCAGCTAGACCCATAGACCCTCCCAGCCTTCAGCTCTTCCGGAATAAAAATGGCACATATCCCTGCATAAGAAATTAATAAAAAATGAAAAGGGACGAAAAGAAATAGAAAGCAGGCATTCGACGCAGATTATGGTGATCCCTGCCGCTCGGTCCGACGCAACTCAGCTTCAACTTTTAATTGGCTGGCCACAGGGAATAAAAAAAATCGGAGTCGGAGTCTCATTGGTTATGACTTAGTACAGCGATACGGAAAAAAATTACTTTTCTTTTCAGATTTATGGTAAGCCTATCAGATCTTCAAGCAGTTTAAAAGCAGTACGAAGGAGGGAAAAAAGTAAGAGCTTGCCCATTCACCTTGATACTGTGCCTATAACGAAAAAAGGAATCAATTCTAGAAGCCAATATATTTTCTAATGGCAAATAAGATTCTACAGCAACTAAACTAAATGACGTGTTCTAACGAGATTCTAGTGGTGAAGTATTGACTGTGGCAACCAATGCACACAGTTGCGACAGCAAAGGTACCTAAACCGAGGTGGTGGAGAGCAATAATAGCTCGCAGCAGAGTGCCATACAGCAAATGTATTATTGGTATATCGCTCATTTGGTTTTGATTGTACCATCAACTTTATTCGGTTGTGTATCGGCGGTTATATTAGCTGTAATTGTATATTAGATATACGGAACAATAATATGTTGGAATCAAAATACCAGACACATCGCGTTAGTCGACAGTCGCACTGACCCACTTCATTCTACAGAACAGCCCGAGGTCCGAGGGCTGCGAGGGACTGTGCTTGTGCATCACTCAGGCAATCAGCCTTTTGTTGATCTACGTAATGAGTGGGTCAAAGGTCACGCGACTGCCAGCGAATTCGGCGAATGAATGGGAAACGGGAAAGAGGAGTCAGGATGGAAAGACGACAAAGAAAAAAAAGAGTACAAAATAGGGAGGGGGTACTTCAGTAGAAACTGGATTAATAAGCGCCCAAAATGTTCACAAACAGACGCAAACGGCCACGGCGTACGGTAGGTGCCACCCAGCAGCGGAGCATCACGGGGTGCCGAGGCAGGCAGGGAACCAGGTGGCTACACGCTACTAGGTGGCACGACATCACACTGTAAATCAGAGTGTGATACTGACTGCACGACTTTTGTGATACAAGAATATTGCACGGTGTTGTGATGATCATCGCAGAACAAATACAACATAAAGTCCAATGGACTGCAGGCCGACCGGCCGCCTGCGAACCTCAGAGTAGGCAGCGCGCCGCGCACCCGTGCGCGGCGGCACGGTCCACCCTGCGGGCTGCAGGGGCTCCGCAAGTACAGAATGCACGGGATTGCGTAACTAACAGATTTACGCACATGGCAGTGTAATCAGTACTGATAAAGCTTTTAAAAATCGGTGGTCTGAGATCTAAATTTTCTGTAAACGGAAAAAGAAAAAATGCTTCAACTACCGTTTGCCATTTTCAAAAGACTTATAAGTTAGACCCCCGATTTTAACTAGCGCTTCAAACGTGCACGTGCGTCGCGCGGCCAAAATGCAACTGATGAGTCTTTCGTTACAGCCTCCCGCCGACCAAGAAGTTTACAGTAGCCGTCGCCTTTTTCAGCAGCGGTCGCCCCGGCCGAGCCTTTCTCGCAGGGGGGTATCGTTTCAGTCTGATGTTGCAAATGTTGACTACATCGGATTTCTTAGGGCGCACCACGAGCAAGAACAAAGCTTATTCTGACAGTTTTGTATCATTACATGATCAAATTAAAAGGTCTTTGTAACTGCGCCGCCCTTCCTCGCAGTGATCGACTACCCTCGCCAGTACCCCCCCCCCCCCATTCAACTCCAGCATGCCATGCCACCCTGCTCCGCCCAGCCCCACCCTTATAGCCGGCAGGGACAATCAAATTGAACGACGCAGATGCTGCTTGGAGAGCGATTGGAGCTGCGGCGATATATCTGCCGGGAGGGGAGACCCACAGGAGAGGGGGGGGGGAGAGTCATCGTGAAAAGGAACGAACTGGGGACATAAGAGTGTGGCGTGAGAGAGCGCGAGAAAGGGAGAAGGGATCCGGGCGCGATCAGCTGGCCTTGTTCAGGAGGTGCAGCGCTCGCGAGAACTGCCAGCGTGATGACAAAAGAATGGCAAAAAGAGCAGCGAGAGGAAAGAATGAACGAAGGGTTTGGGGAGGCTCCCACTCGCTGAGGCTGGGACTGGTGGCGTGAGGAGGGTGCTGCAGGCGCTCACCACTGCGGCCATTACTGACCCACTGAGCTTGTCCCCCTCAGTATCTCCCTAGCGGCCCCGCTCCGGCCCGCCCGGCCTCACCC